ATGTTTCATTCAACTTTTCTAATGAGCGCTACATAATTCAAAAGTACCTAATGAAAATTTCATAAAGACAGGACCTGTTGTATCGATTACTTTGCAAACTTCACAACTTGGATTTAATCTAGACGACAAATATCCTTAAAAATATCAATATCCCAATTAAAATGAACATTAAACACCAAGTTAGAAAAAAGTTTTTGTCTCAGGTATTGATTTATAAATAAAATATTAAAGAGAACAAAAAAAATTATACAGGATACGCCAGAACTCGCGATACAAAAAACATGGAAAAAATGTTAAAAAAAAATTATCTCTTAAAATTTCGAAGTTATGAGGGTTTAACTTTGCACTTTGACTCTATTTATTTCTGTTGGAAAAATAGGAAACAAGGAAGCTGTATCCTAAATTGTAACTCTTTTCAATGTTATTTTTGGCTTTTAATGGCAAAATTTTTGTCCCTTTACTAAATAATTGTAAAAAAACATATACAAGATCATCAGTATCATTAAATAGATGTAAAAAAATGTCAAATGTCAAAAAATAAATGTCAAAATTTTTTGACAGATAGAATTTTTTAAACATTTTTTTCATGTTTCGGGTATCTTACCTTACTTGAAAATTTTCTCTGGGGCGCGAGTTCTGGCGCAGCCTGTATATCTCATCGGAAAAAAATAAGTGTAATGTTATATGTATATGAATAAAAAATTAAAATCATTTATTTATAAACAATATTTATAAAATGTTAACAGAAACAAGAAAAAGTCTTTAAATATTTTTTTTTGAAATGAAATTTGTTTTTGAAAAATTTGTTTCCCATACTGGCAACAATCGTGTAAACTTGTGTACGTTCAGAAATTTCCGATGTATAGTACAAATTTCTACGAGCACTACTTTGTGGTTTCTCATCGAATAAGTAAATGATATGTTTATTTGCAGTTTGCAACCTTGTTGGTATCGTCCATTTGGAGTAGTTGATGCGGAAACTACTCCATTTTTTAATTTTAATGTATCCTTTATTATCTGATCGTGCTTGTTTTAGTGTCACACAAAAGATAACATCGCTATTTTTACTGTTGTACAATTTGTTATGTGAGTGTTGTACTAATTACTAGACAAATATACTCGTAGATAAACCGGATTAAAAAACGCTTCTGGCGCTAACAATGTGTCTGTTTTTTTTATTTAAATTGAATTCTGCTTGACGCACCATTTACTAAACCGTTTGTTTGTATGTTTGTCGATGTGGCGGCGGCGGCAGCTCGCAGGCTAATTTAAAAATTGATGATTTGTTTTGTAAGCAATGTGATGGTTCGAAATTAAACATTATCGGTGTGGGCAAGCCAATTATTGACGAAAACAGAAGCGGAAGCCGGAAGCATTAGCTGGTTATCTCCCAGCTCTCCCAATCAAATCAATCACTTCACATAAGTTTAGTGGCTGTTTCCCACATTGCAAATGTCTGTTACGACACTGATACGACAATTACGATGCAAATTTATGGATTCGGTCAAAATTACTAAAGGGACCGAAAATTAATGTTAACAAGGAGACAAGGCACGAATCATAATTTACTTCAAAAGAACGAATTTTCGGAAATATTTTCATTCAAATTTAACACCAACATGACATCACACACGCACTCAATATCTGATACGTGAATTTTAATGAGTGACAGCACACGTAATGTGGAACTTAATTGCGGAATGTTTGAATGGATTTTGGCATTAATTAAAAACTAGGTTGCGAGTTGATAAATAGCACGATTGATTTGGACCTAATTAAAAATTTGAACGAAATAGCACGAGATTTTTTTTGTTTAGTTGTAGTAATCGTAGTAATAAAACGCATGAGTAATGAAAAATGACTTTAGTACCGAGATGCATATTAAATTTTTTCCGAAACTTCAATGGATCCACTGTTGTCAGATTTCTCGTTTCGATAGTACCATCTCGTTCATAAACCGCAAAATAACTAGCCACTATACAAAACCACGAAACAGAATGAAAAACTAATACTTATTTATAAATATAGGGATTATGTCTTTATCTCATGTTTACCTAGATTAAGACACTGGTTTGATAATACCGTTATTAATGTTCGCAACCCGCAACACAAAAAATTGATGAATAATAAAACCGTTTGGTGCTGATTTTATACCCTTTACAAATGATATTATGACATTATAATACGATTTCGAAAAAAACACACTTCTCAGTCTTGCTAAGAAAATGACAAAAATAAGAGAAGTTTTTTTGAAATTGCGTGCCTACAAAAGTAAGGTCATTAGTAGTCTATATCAGATATTTTTTTAAATATGTAGTATCTTCGTCTTTCTAAAAAAAAAATGTTTTCATGATCGTTCCCTTAGATACATAAGGTGAAAAGTAACTGTTATGTACTTGCGTTGGGATAGGTGTAAGAGAATAATCTGATCCCCTTAAAATAAAAATGCCTTTATTCTCACAAGGTCTAGGCCCGACTCACTTCAGCGGACAAGGACGCAAAAGAAACAAAAAACAGATAAACTGCTGATACACAGCATATTTCCCCCCCTTAAACTTAAAAATTATTTACAATAATATGTGAATATATACATTTTTTTTTTACCTCGTTGTTGGATATCTAGCTGGAGGTTGTATCCGACTTCGACGTCTAAGCTCTCTTTTGAATTCATCTTTCGTTGGTAAGTCAGATACATCCTTCATCACAGGTACATGTAATTCCACTTCATTATCAACAACGTCAGTTATCAAATCAGATCGAGGAGTAAAGTCTTGTCTTGTCATTTGTGACTCTAGAAAACGTTTTTTAATTTGGTTTATATGACGTTTTACCTTTGCTCCACAATCTAATAATATCACAAAATAAGTTCGACTACCCAAAATTTCACTAATATAACCTGCGGTCCATTTTACATTATTTTTCCTAAAATCGCGAACCCACACGGCATCATTACACTCGAATTGTTTACCTGTATCAGTTTCAATTTTGGTCAGTTTCTCTTCTTTATCTGGAAACAATAAATCAAATCTAGATCTCAGTCGACGACCTACTAATAATTTCGCGGGTGCTACTTTTGTCGTTGTATGCGGTGTATTACGATATTGAAATAAAAATCGATTAATAACTAGATCGAGATCAWCGGATTTATTCTCAAAAACACACTTCGTAATCACTTTTTTCATTATACCAACTCCGCTTTCGGCCTGTCCATTTGTAGGTGGATGGTAAGGTGCACCTGTTAAATGTTTTATGCCATTTTGTTTTAGAAAATTTTGAAATTCATTGGATGTGAAAGAAGTAGAATTGTCTGAGCAAATTTGTTTAGGTAACCCAAATCGAGCGAAAACAGAACGAAGACATTTAATTGATAGTTCAGTAGATACGCTACTCACAATAAAACATTCAATCCATTTTGACGTTGCGTCTTCAATTACAAAAAATGTTTTGTTTAACAGTGGTCCAAAATGATCTATATGTAATCTGGACCAACATTCATTTGGAATGGGCCATGAGATTATCGGTGCTTTTGCCGAATCAGAAGCTAGTGAACAACATACTTTGCACGAACGTGCCATTTGCTCAATTGCTGCATTCATCAAAGGCCACCATAGATACGAACGAGCAAGTGATTTCATTTTTACTATTCCAACATGATTTTCGTGTAGCTCTTGCAAAACATGTTTTCTAAATTTACTAGGAATAATTAGTCGATAGCCACACAAAAGACAACCGTTTTCCACCGAAATTTCGTTACGTYTAAGAAAGTATGGTTTAAGATTTTCCGATTTGATCTTTTTGGGCCAACCGTTTAATGCGTATCGTAAAACTTGTCTTAATTCGGTATCAATTTTCGTTTCTTCTTGAATTTGTTTAAAATCAAGTAGTGTTTTTGCACTCTCTTGAATGTAATTAAAATACGAAATGTCATCATTGATGTTATGTTTTTCAAATCCTACCGGGTGTCTGGATAAAAAATCAGCTGCATTTAGAGAAGATGGTACATATCTAATTTCATAATTAAATGCTGATAAAATGTATGCCCATCTTTGCAATCTATTAGCTGCAAAAGACGGTATTCCCYTTTTAGGGCCAAAAATTGTTATTAATGGTTGATGATCAGTGCATAAAATAAATTTTCTACCATACAAATATTGAGAAAATTTTTTTACACCGAAAATTATTGCTGCGGCTTCTTTTTCAATTTGTGAATATTTTAATTCAGCAGAATTTAGCACACGTGAAGCAAATGCAATAGGTTTTTCAGAATTATCTTCAAAAATATGACTAATTACCGCTCCTAGACCAAATTCAGATGCATCAACCGTTAATTTGATCTCTTTTTCAGGATTATAATGTGCCAAAACTGTCGATGACGCTAAAATTTGTTTTATTTTGTTAAATGTTATATCACATTCTTTTGACCAAAACCATTTACTATTTTGCTTTAATAAATTATGCAATGGCTTCAAGACACTTGATCTATTTGGAATAAATTTTGAATAAAAGTTAATCATACCCAAAAACGATTTTAACTGAGTGATTGAAGTAGGAGGAGTAGTTTTTAAGATAGCTTCAACTTTGTCTTTACTTGTGTGTAATCCATTTTTGTCAATAATATGCCCTAGATAACTWACCGATTTTTGAAAAAAAGAACATTTATTGCTGGCCACTTTAAGTCCGCAATCTTTTAATTGTTTGAAAACCAATTCAAGACGTTCTAAGTGTTCTTGGTCATTTTTGCCAGTGATCAAAATATCGTCTAAAAAACAAACTACACCGGGAATAAGAAATAATTTCTCCATAATGTTTTGAAAAATCGCGGSCGCGCTAGTAATACCGTATGGAAGACGTGTATAAGCAAATAAACCCTTGTGTGTCGATATAGTTACTAATTTTCTAGACTCGTCCGTTAATAAAATTTGTTGATAGGCCTCCGACAGATCGATTTTAGAAAATTTATCACCTCCTTGCAATTGCGAGAAAAGGTATTCAATTCGAGGTAATGGGTATTTTTGTTCGACCAAATATGGATTAACAGTAACTTTGAAATCTCCACAAATTCGAATTTTTTCCATTTGCTTTGAGCACTGGTACAATTGGCGTACCCCAATCAGAAAAGTCAACAGGAACTAATACTTTATGAGAAACTAATCGATCAATTTCCTCTTCAATTTTAGGTTTCAAAGCAAAAGGAACTGGCCTTGGATTATAATATTTTGGAATGGTTCCCTCTTTTAAWTGTAAKGTGACTTTACMTTTATTAAATGTGCCAATGCCACTCTCAAAAATTTCAGGATACTTATTACATAACATTTGAATTGATCTTGATTTTGATTCGCTAAACAAGGCGTTTATATCAGATTGAACATTATTTACTTTAGCGATTGTTAATTTTAACATATGCATTGCATTTCTTCCTAATAAAGGTGGTCCCCCATTCTTAACAACATAGACTTTAAGTGAATAATAATCATTTTCATACTTAGCATTTAACTGTAAAAATCCTAGTGGTTTAAAACTCAACCCAGCATAATCCTTAAGGRATAAATCGTTTGAATACATTTTTTGTTGCTTAAAATGTTTTAAATATAATTTTTCCGAAATCGCRCAATGTGCAAATCCGGAATCGATTTCGAAGCTTATAGGAACATTATTTATGGTCAAATTMACATACATTGGTTCGACATTACCGTTAATGTTAAAATTATTTAAATGAAAAATTGTGTCTTCCTCCACCTGATCGGTCCTGGGAGTACTGGCTTCTTCTAAAAAATGTTGTCTAATTTTCTTATTACACACCGGAGCTAAATGCCCTTTTACACCACACTTATGGCACGTATAATTACGAAACTTGCACTGAATTGATTTATGATTTTTACGGCCACAGACACTACACTGTTGCTGCACAAAATTTCCTCTTCCAGGAGACGATGMCACAGACGTAGATGGTGGAGCTGCTGACGAATATGCACCAGCTTGCTTAAATACTCCACTTCTATTTTTCTTTATGGAACTGGATGTCCTCTCCGAATTTCGATGATAATACACATTTTCATCCATTTCACGGCCTTTTGACATGTCGGAACGTTCCATCACCGCGGCCTCCTTGGCTTGAGCAATCTTTACCATTTTAAAAAAATTGTTTACACCATTGGTGGGGTCTTCTTCAAAGAGTCGGTCCATAATTTTTACATCACCTAATCCCAAAACAAAAATATCCCGCATTAC